ACCATACATACAAAAGAAACCTACATACAAAAGAAACCAGAGAATCACGTAGTGCATTATAAGTACCTTAGAAACAATAGCAAGAAAGAAAAAACCACTGTGTCCCTGTCTTGGGGTTCATTTCTCTTAACATCATCTTATCTGGTCATATGTACATAGCTTTTGACTTTTTTTGTTTGTCCTAGACATGTACTAGTTATTGCAAATAAGGACAACCATGAGACCTATGTTTCTTTGGGCCTGGCTTACTTCTTACTTAATATAATTTTTTCCAAGTCTTTCCATTTCCTAAAAAATGGAGCGATGTCATTCTTTCTGATGGAGGCATAGAATCAAGGTAATTGGATGTCTATTGGAGGTTTAAAAATCTCCAGGAGCATTAAGGTGTGTTTTTGAAAGTAATTTCCTGGTTGAATTAGTATGAAAGTAACAATTAGTGTATGTAAGCAGTAATTGGTGGGTGAGAAAAATGCCAAAATCCAAAGTGTCACCTAACTAAGGATCCTAGTGAATTCACATCATTAGGAAAAATAAATGCATACATTAAGTACATAATATTTATGTATACGCGAAAATGTACCTTCCTATGAGAAAAAGTGATGGGCAATAAGAAGAATTACTACTACCCACTTTGGACACCTGTATAACCATTACTATCTTCCATGAAAGGGGAAGTAATGAGCCCTACATTTTATCCCTCTTGAACTGTGAGTTCTTCAGGGTATTTTAGATTGGTAAGTATTTGAATAGGTTAAAAAATTAAACATAAGAGTAATATATCAGGTAACATAATTAGTTCATGAAATACAAAAATAACAGCAATCAGCATTGTACAAATATAAAATGCCATTTATTTGAGGGAGTTAAAAAACTTTCAACTGTTTAATATTCTATATTTTGCAAATTTGAAGACAAGAATGGAGGGATTCATTTGCTGTAGGAAATGTACTCACAGGCCCATTCCTTTGGGGCATTTTACTTTGTATACCAATTTTTTATACCCAAAACTTTGTATACCAATTATTTCATACTATACACTATACATGCACTATACATGGTTTTGTCTTGATTTGTTTTGATCTTAAAAACAGCCCAGAAGCATAGCTCACATTGACCCACTTCCACAAGTAAATAAGTGGTGCTTCATGGAGACAGCGTGACTGATGAGCTTGTCTAATGCTCAGGAGCCACCTGAAGAGCCACATGAGGATTCTGGAGCATATCTATGCAGTTCATCCAACCTGGCACCCGGTGGGCTCCAGGAGATATGGTAACTTTATATTCAGGTTTGCTCCAGACAATCCAGCTACAACCCATGATCTGGGATGTTTCCCTGTTCCTTTGAAAACTTTAATTATTCTGTGTTTAACATACATTTGCAATATGAGGGAGTTTTCCTCACTATGAAACATGCACACAGTGCACTTTTTAACATATTCACCTCATCCACTGTATACTCATCTCTCCCCTCCCTTCTCCCTGCTTTTCCAAACAGCATTTGGTAGATTTCATTATGTGTGTATATAAACATATATATATATATATATATATATATATATATGTATATACATGTGCGTATACATATATAACATCCTTTGAATCTTTCACCCTTAATATCCCCTCTTTTTCCCTCTTCCTGAGCCCCTCCTAGACATTCTCCCTTTTATATTCATTCCCTGCATCATTTTGTGTCTGTAATCCACAAATGGGAGAGAACATGTGATATTTGGCTTTTGAAGCTTAGCTTGCTATGTTCAACTATGATAGTTCTTCAGTTCCACTTCTTGTAAATGAGATAATTTCTATGTGCACATATGCAGACACTACCCACACACATAACCACACAGACATACATAGGATAGTGTGTGTGTGTATAAGAAAGAGAGAGAGAGAGAGAAAGAGAGAGAGAGAGAGAGATTCTACCTTTGGAACAATGCTGACAAAAGGACAGACATATCTTTTTTGTCTCTCTTCATAACTTTTTTCTTATTTTCTCCCTAAGGCATTTTTATTTATTCTTAACATATATATATATATATATGTATATATATATATTGGTTTTTGTGTCAAAGTCATGCATTTTCATCAGATGAGCTGAGGGTAACCAGTATTGTATTCACATCTCCTTTCGCTTTTTACAATGATATGCATGAATATATGCATATATATTATATATTGTTATATGTTATTTATATTGTTAATATATTATTATATATTATATTATATATTACATATAGTTTCTCATAAACATAACAACACAAATATTTACCTAGCACAACTCTTTAACCTATGGTAAACTTTTACATTTTTTAGTGATTTATTTCAGATGACCCACCTTCTACCAAGATGGTCTATGGAATGAGGTTTTGGCTTGTTGTACATACACTTAGAGCCTACACAAGGCACAAAGCTAAAGTAAAGAAGTACAATGCTAAGAAAGTAGTCCATAACACATATGCTAATTATTATAATTTAGCTACACCATGATACATTGGTACATCAAAACCTCATGGTGTCCATTATAAACAGATATGATTTTTTGACAATTAAAATAGTGAATAACTGAAAACAAACCAGGCAAGAAGATCACATTTTCCCAAATCTCTCAATGGTGGCTCACGTCAAGCTCAGCTACATTTCTCCACAGTTAACTGTCACCAGCCTTGAGACTGATTATGGCCTCCTGTCAAAAACAAAGGGCATTTTTGTCTTCTTATACTGTTTGAGAACAGAGCTCCCATGTGAATTTGGTGGTAGCCCTCAATCCATTCTTCCCAGCCCTCTGTATATACAAAAGTTCTGCTTCCTGGTCCCTGTGGCACTTTTGTGAATCTGAGGCCTCTCTGAGTGAGTGACTCAGAATATTGCAGCAGTCCCAAAACCAAAGCCCTGAGTATCTCTGTCCCAACTGCTGAGCAGACAGCCTGTAGCCAGGTTCCTCAGGAATCTGCTCTTCAGTCTCAAATAAACGAAAGGGAAGAGTGAAAGTTTTACAACAGGGCTAGATCAAGGAAACTGTGAAATAAATAAAATCTCTCAATCTGCAGTAAGATTCCTGTTACTTCTTCTGCAGTGGAATTCCAATGCCTTTGGCCCTAGTCTAGAAACAGAATGTTGGGAGGAATGTGATGCAGCAGGAAAAAAAAAAAAAAAGACAACTCAAGAGACTGGACTGTCATTCTAGTTCTGGTCCGTGACCTTGGGCAGGCTATGCTCAGATGTTCAGGAGCTTCTCTATCAAACAAAGGTGGACTCTACTTTAAGAGCTTCCTGCAGCTCAGAAATTGCAAGATTCTCTGATTTTCGGATCAGCTCATCCTCATTAATATACCACAAGGACTTTTTTCTCCTATCCATGACCACACGCAAGCACCAAGCCATTTGTTATTTCTCATCCTCACGAGATGAGGAGCTCCTAGAGGCTAGTATCTCTCTAATTCATCTAAGAAACATGATGTCTGACATATAATAGTGCTCAGGAAAAGGAGAAAGAAAGGTATACTGAGACAAAGCGTGAGAGAGAGAAAGGGAGACAGGGAGGAAGAGAGAGAGAACCACTTCTTATTTGCTAACATTTCCACCTAGAAGCACTTTTCCTGCTGCATTATTCCTAAAGGTAAAAAAAAACCTAGCCAGAGATGGTATCCTACACATCTTCTGTTTCTTAGTACTACAGCATATTGATTGATGTTATTAATAATTAGTTAACTTGTTAATCAACAAACTTATTGGAAGACATAAAATTAAGTGAAGTAAGCCAGGCCCAAAGAAACATAGGTCCCATGGTTTCCCTTATTTGCAATAACTAGTATATGTCTGATTCAAGCAGAAAAGGTCAGATAAGTTGATTTTAGGGAAATGAACCCTAAGATATGTATTCAAATGTTTTTTTTCTTTCATGCGATTGTTTCTAACATATTTATAAGATGATTTCTTTGTTGCTTTGTATGTTCCTCCCCCACGGCATAACCTCTGCTTTCACTGTATTGATGTTGGTATAATTTGTGAAGGGGAAGGGAAAAAACAAATCGTTTAAATAGAGATACAGGTGGACCCATTGAACAATGAGATGTACAAGTCGTTATGTCGAAAAATGAACTTTATAACTTTGGGGGGGAGGATTGGGTGGGGGGGCAGGGGGGGAATGGAAAGGGATGGGAAGGGGAAACAAAGGAGGAGCCTACAATGCTTGATAAGAAATGTACTCATCTTGCCCATGTAATTATAACCCCTCTGTACAGTATTTTCACAATTTAAAAAAATTACAGAAGAAAAGACTTGAGAAAGTATTGAATCAATAACTTAAATGAGCCACTAAATAATCTTGTGCTCTGAGTGGATTACTGCTGGTAGCCTTCTGATGAGTAAACGATGAGAGTTAGCATACCAAATTCCCCAAATGAAGCACACTTCTCTATAATTAAATATCACAGCTTCATTGTTCCGATAACAAAGCTGAAATATTTTCCACCATCATAATATCCTCAGCAGATAATGTCACTGCAATAGAATGAGGTGACCACATGATAATAGGCTATCCATGCCAAAGTCAAGTTAAACTGTTTATTTTCAAAGCAGATCATTAAACTGACTTTTTTTCCATTACTAAGTGATTGATGCCATTTTAAAGGTGACCAACAAAAATTTCTGTTTAAAAAAAAGGGAGGAAGGGCTTTGACAACAGAGTCCGATGGTGAATGATTCAAATACCAAGGGAGATGCCACAGAGAGCAGCATAGAACTCGTTTTAAAAGCATGAGAGGGCCGGGCGCCGGTGGCTCACGCCTGTAATCCTAGCTACTCAGGAGGCTGAGATCTGAGGATCGCGGTTCAAAGCCAGCCCGGGCAGGAAAGACCGTGAGACTCTTATCTCCAATAAACCACAAGAAAACCGGAAGTGGCGCTGTGGCTGAAGTGGTAGAGCACTGGCCTTGAGCTGAAGAGCTGAGGGACAGCATCTAGGCCCAGAGTTTAAGCTCCATGACCGACAAAAAAAAAAGCACGAGAGGTCACTTCTGATCAAAGCACGAACCAGAAAAGTCATTTCAATGCACCTTCCCACATTCGCAGGAAAATTATGTCTTGTCCTCTTTCCAAAGAGCTGAGACAGAAGTATGACAAATGATGTAGTTAATTGCCTTACTCATATAACTGTAACCCCTCTGTACAGCATCTTTACAATAAAACAAAATTTTTAAAAAGTAGTACAATGTGAGGTCTATGCCCATCCAGAAGAATGATGAGATGCAGATTGTATGCGGACACTATAAATGTCAGCTGACTGGCAAAGTCCGGGTTTACAGGAAGTATGTCATCTACATTGAACGGGTACAGCAGGAAAAGGCCAAAGGCATCACTGTCCACATGCGCATTCACCCCAGCAAGGTGGTTATCTCCAGGCTGAAACTGGACAAAAACCGCAAAAAGATCCTGGAATGCAAAGCCAAATCTCATCAAGCAGGAAAGGAAAAGGGCAAATACAAGGAAGAAATGATTATTGAGACGATGCAGGAATGAAGTAATATTATATACAACTAAAAATAAACCTAACCCTGCTTTCCCTGTATGTGATATTGGTGCCCTGACTCTTGTATATACATTTTTCTAAGTGGGGGGGGAGAGGGAGGGAAATAACAAAATGCTGAAACAAGGATACAGGTTGACACATTGTAACAATGAGATGTACAAATCACTGTGCTGAAAACGGACTTTACAACAGCAGAGGAGGTGGGCAGGTGGGGTGGGGAGGGATGGTAGAGGAAAAACAAAGGAGGGGGGTAACAATGCTGGATAGGAAATGTATGCATTACCTCACTCATGGAACTGCAACCACTCTGTACAGTATCTTTAAAATATATATATTGAAAAAACTTTTTAAGAATTCATTTTAAAGTTAATCTTTGTTAAGCTTTCCACCGTAAGTTTTTTTTTCTGCAAAGATGCCAGCAGCTGTCAGAGACCTCAAAGTGCTTCAAAACACAGCCACAGCTTGTGTTGTCACTGCCCTTCCGTCCTTTTTTATCACAGAATTTAGGATAAAGACACCCTCCAACAAAGGAAGCTGGTGTTTAGCTCAGACATGAGCCAACTCTTCTGACATGCAGCCTGAAGGAAGGTGGTACTACAAATGCCACCTTTTGCAAACAGGCTCTCACCTCCCACCAAAAAGCCTTCTCTTGTGCCTTGGGGACCATAGCCTGCCCTTTCAGCCACTTGGAGATAAAGCCCTATCCGTGAGGTCATCTTAAAATACAAATGGCTAACAAAGAATAGCTTTCTCTGAGACTGGGAGAGCCTACAAAAGGCCTTTCAGATGGAGCATGCTCAGTACAAATGACGGTATTATCATATTCCATTTCACTCTTTGGGAGGAAGGCCAGGCAGCAGGGTGACTATCTCTAAAACAAAATAAAACAAAAATCGAGTTGAAGGGTGGCCGGTGAGGGAGAGGGGAGGGTGAATCCAATCAAAGTACACTGTAAATATGCATAGAAATGCCACAATAAAACCCCCTGTACAACTAATGTATATTAATAAGAATATGGTTTTTTTCTTGAATAATGGTAATTCAAAGTGAACTGGTTGGCTTGCAGAATGTTTTGTGACATTAGAAAACCCAACAAACCTTGTATCCTTTTTCTGATAACAAATATTTAATGAGTAAGGCACTGTGCTAAGAGCTTCTAGAAGTAGGAAAAAGAAAAAAATCAAATGCTCCTCTCCCCAGATCACACTTCCTGCTCCCTGCTCAGTTATTTATTTTCCCTCCGTGAAGTCATTTGGACTGGGAGAGTTCTGGTTGAGAGCACTTTATACAGTCAGTGCCTGCTCCTTGTATGAGATGTGTGCCATGCACAATATTTTTGATGATGATGTTAATTGGTGTTGAATACAACTTATTTATAATTCTCAAAAATTATACATGGATTATGGATATCTGAGGCTCCGAAGCCCTAAATTGCACATTAATGATTAAAAAGGACAGTTTTCTCAATGAACAATCCAAAAACACTAAATGATGGTTGGCAAGTGTGATAGCCATAGCAACTGCTAGTGAAGATCTTCGAATAAGACCTTTTTCATGAGGGAACATATGATAGCCAGGAGCCCCCAAACCTGTTCCTAAAGAAGCATTTCTCAATGTCACATACTGTCCTAGGGAAAGTGCTTGTGAAGGGCAAACTTACAGCAGTCCTGATTGGTTCCAGAGTTTGTTGTGATGCTTCCATGCCAATATTCTATCCAGCTCTCCAGCAGCCCTGTCCTCGTTCAGTAGATGATTCTCCAGGTAATTAAGTTCCTTGATCTGGACATGATTGCCCAACTTGTGATCTTTCTGTAATGTCCTAATTAGGTCTCTTGTTCCAACAATCTTCAGACTACTTTCTTAGCAACCTACATTTCTCTGTGGTGACACTTGTTACTGCTTTAACAATTATTTTTTGTCATTAGGAAATAAGCAACAGAGCATAGGAGTTGACAGCGACAGCTATTCAAACAAAAGTGATATATTGGGACATCTAATAATGGTCTCCTGTAACCAAAGTATTTATAGTCCTCAGCATTTAGTAGGTACTCAATAAATATGTTCTAACTCTCTTGATCACTACATGTAAATCTTTCCCTTGGATCAAAAGCCTGTTTATGGCCCTGGAAGCAACCAAGTTGTAGCTTAATCTGATGGTATTTGTAAGTGAAACTTGCTACCAAGGCAAGATTTTCTCTTGTGCTAGTTTGTAGTAATCCAACACCTCCAATTTGCAGGCTTCTGGGGCTGAGACTAAGACTTGAATGGTCAGTTCTCTCTTGGTGGAGTTAAACATGTTGTGACACTTGCTGACAAACTCTCCTCTCCACTCCAGCTGTTAGTTGGACTTCCCAGGTAGTCTTCTCAAAGTCATCTTTCTGTTGCCATCACACTGACTCATTTAAACCCTAAATTAGCCTTTGCAACTTATTAGTGGCTTCATGCATTCTGTATCAAATATATTCCTTTAAAAAAAGCCTGTACATCCTTTGCAAAAGATAATTCATAGGATATGTTCATGTACTAAAAGTAAAGACTTTCTTGATTTTGTTTTAGGAATTATGCAACACAAATAACTGATTTAATTTAAAGTTAGCGACAAATTTTTTGTAGTCATCACTCATTCTTGAGAAGTTAGACAAGATGAAAACCAATCTACAAATTGATTTCACATTTAACTAAAAAAGTATTTAACAGGCAGTAGAAGAAGATGTCACTATAGTTTCGGTACATGTATGGAATTAAACAGGCACTTCAACTTTGCTTCTGCCTCTTCATATTTGGAAACAATATTTTTGGTTTTCTTTCTTTTTTTGTCTTTTTAATACTTTTTATTGTAAAGATACTGTACAGAGGGGTTACAGTTACATGTGTGGGGTCATGAGTACACTTCCTATCGAGCATTGTTTCCTCCTCCTTTGTTTTTCCCCACCACCCTTCTTTCTTTTTTCTAAGCCCCAAACAAGTTTATAGGAAACTAGAAACTTCATGGTCCCTAGGCAATATTTTTTGTGGTGACAAAGGCACAAATTTGCCTTGTCCTGAGAGCACACCCATGACCTGGCTTTTGTCAAATCTTCCAGTACCAAAACCTGAACCCTTCCGTGTACAGCTGCATCATGGGTACTATACTTGACCTTCTTCAGAGTAGAGTTATTATTGTCATTGTGAAGTACTACAAGGCTTTTATAAAGGATTAGGACTCTATTTAGAGATTTTCTCAGGTCCATCAATTGATCAAAGCCTCATTCAGACAGCACTTGGAAAACAAAGCCAACACAAACCCAAACAACAAACAAACAAAAATAAATAAATAAAAGATGTTTTAGGTCTTTTGCTATTTCTAGAATTTTGCTTGTGAAAACCCAGAAATAAGTTAGCACTTCCTTATGCAAGATACAGTTTAATTCCTAAACAGCATCTGTCTTGAGTTTGATGAGGTATTCTCAAAAATACGCTTTATTCCAACAGCGTCAAGGAATCCCAGCAATGTTTCTTTCCCAACCTCTTAGAATGAGGTTAAATAACTTTTTCTAGTGAAACATTTTCATTTGTTTTTTATCATCTAACATAGCTGAACATCTACTGTGGATCAATGAGTGAGGAGACAATAAGGGTATGAGTTAGAAAGTCTCAGCAGTGCTGTGACCCACTCACTAGCAGGCTCACAGTCACTGAGTAATACGAGTTTCCAACAGGTTCAGAAAAAGCACCATCTCCAAATTTTTTTCTAGAATACAAGGACAAACCTACCAAGCCAACTGCAGTTGAATTTAAGGGACCCAAATAATATTAATTTCCTTCAAGTTACCCATGCATATCTGAAATTAAATGTTTCATGGATATTGGAGACTGGAACAATCACATTAAGTCAAGGAATTTCTCCACCCCCCCCCCTTCCTCCTTCTCTACCCTCTCCTCTCATTTTCTGGTGTCTAAATGATTTCTTCAGTAGTGGGATTTTATCATGATCAAAGATCAAATTATCAACTCTTTGGAAGCTCTTACTTAGTAAGGGACAAGTAATTATATAAGTAAAACTACATTTACACTTCTTGAGGATTTATTTCTACTCCCTACAAATATGGATTCTTTCATACAGTTTTAATAAGTAACATGATACTGATTCATCTTTCTAATTCAATTTGAGTCTTCTAAATATTTGAAAACCATGGTTTATTTTAAATCAAGAGAGAGTTCTTACTTCATTCCTTCAGGGAGCCATCAGCTCATTTTTAGAGATGAATCAGTGAAACACAAGTGAATCAGTCGGTCAGTGTCTCACAGTCTCTTTGGACCAAACAGAATTGATTTCCATGTGGCTAGCTGCCATTTTCTTTAGGCAGAAGATTAATCAATCAATAAGAATGATTTATTGGTTAAAAATAAACCTTGAAATTAAGATTATGGCACCTGCAACTAGATTAGATTGAATTAAAATCCTGGATCTACTATTTAGTGTTTGTGAGATATTGGGATGTTTGCTTAATATCTTTTAGCTTTGCGTCTTCATCTGAAAATAGCACCAGTACACAGAATAGATTATAAAGATCAGTTGAATCACAGCATCAAAAAGCACAGAACAAATACTCAAATGCTCAGGAAATGTGATGCCTAATTCTGTCTCACTTTGATTATGTCACAGGTTCCAAATAATCAGTCAGATATTACTCTGGAAGTTACCGTGACAGTGTACATACACAAAATTAACATCTAAATCAATAGATGGAATTTAAAAAATATTTATCTCTATAATGTAAATGGTCCTGATCCAAAAGACTAAATAGAAAAAGTTGACTTTCCCCTGTAAGAGAGAATCCTACCTGCTTAACTGTCTCCAAACTGAAAGACTGTTTTTTCTAGATTTCAAGCCCACCACTTTTGGACAGAACTAAACTATCTGCTTTCCTGGTTTGCAGGCTTTCATTGTTGGACTGGAACCAAACCATTGACTCTTCCGGGTCTCAGCATGCTGACTTACTGCACATCT